CCTCCGGATCCATCGGCAGGCGCTATGCCCGAACTGATGAGATCGGCGTGGCATTCGGGATCACCATCGACTTCGACACGGTCAACAGGGATCCCCACACGGCTACCTTGAGAGACCGGGATTCGATGCGGCAGATACGAGCGGAGGTAAGGGCGCGTCGGTGCGACTCCGGAAGTCCAGCTCCCTTCGCCATGGCTGTCTGGCTGGAGCACGCTCATCCGACGGGGAGCGGGTGGAGACTAAAAAGACGCCACATTGGATGGAAGGAGAATTTAAAAAGGGGCGGTAGAAAGAGAAGAAGGCCGCGCTTCCTCCCCTCTCAGAGGCTGGAGGCGGGCTGGTGGTCTAACTATGGCCTCGTACCAGGGTGGTGTATGAACAGCTCTTGAATGATGCGGGCCCCAGATAAGTTGCTGGGGAATCATTGCGTTAATGCAGAGAGGCTCTAGGGTAAGAACAAAAGGCTCAACTACTGACAGGGACATAAAAAACAAGGCTACAGCTGTTGATGTAAGTAAAGGAAAAAACGTTTTCTTGTGTGTGTAAAGCGCTGTCAGGTCAAAGCCAAGTTCTGGTGATCCTGTAGGGCAGGGGTGTCAAACATAAGGCCCGGGGGCCAGATCTGGCCTGTGTAGGGCTCTTATGTGGCCTGCGAGCAACTAATGCAAGGGAGGAAGTGCTGGGGGGGGGATTGGGCAGAGGCACTCCTCCGTGGCTTCAGCATGGGAGAACAGCCTCGTCTGCAGCAGTCAAGCATCATGGGAGTATCTGCCCAGCTGCCTGTAGTGGTTAAGTGCGCGGACTCTAATCTGGGAGAAGCGGGTTTGATTCCCCACTTCTCCGCTTGCACCTGGCTGGATGACCTTGGGCAAGCCATAGTTCTGATAAGAGCTGTCCTTGAAAAAGAGCAGCTTCTGTCAAGCACTCTCTCAGCCCCACCAACCTCACAGGGTGTCTGTTGTAGGGAAGGGAAGGGAAAGGAGTTTGTAAGCCGCTCTGAGACACCTTTGGGTAGTGAAGGGCGGGGTAGAAATCCAATCTCCTCCTCCTCCTCTTCCTCCTCCTCCCAGCCCATGGGGCCTTGCGGTGAGGATACACCAACTCAGAGCTCACCTGCTGCTGTTCTTTATACAGTTTCTATCTCCGGTACCCGGCATTATGTTTTGTGGCCCACCTGGCCCGGCCCGACAAAGTGGCATTTATGTCAGATCTGGCCCTCGTAACAAATGACTTTGACACCCCTGCCCGTAGGGTTTTCAAGGGAAGAGACTTCAGAGGTGGTTTGCCAGTGCCCGCCTCTGCGTCGCGATCCTAGAATTCCTGGGCTGTCTCCCATCCAGCGCCGACCCTCCTTCGCTTCCAAGGTCGGACAAGATCGGGCCATCCAGATCAAATTCCCTAATTAGAAGTTAGGAGGCATCTCAGTAACCTGTCATATTACACCCCTTGGGGGAACAGTCCAGGCCCATCAATTCAGTATGCCAGTAGGACTATATTGGAGGAAGGTCTTATTATGGGATATATATTATACCTAAGGAGATGGATTTCCTTGATTATGCCAACCCCAGAAGGCCCAGTATTCTACACTCTATCGGAAGCACATAAACATATTTCCCCCCTCCTCCAGTAGACCATTTAGCTGAGCAATAAAGCCTAGTTTCTCCTTCATTCGCACCATCAATCTTATTTTTCTGTCCCAGTGGCGTGTGCGGCCTTTCCATTTTCTCCAACTACTTCTTTTTGTACTTTTTTTTTTTTTTGCATTTTGTGTGTCCATGCACCTGTGCCTGCACCTGGCAGTCATGGCGACCGCCAGTGACGCCTACAGGACACCTACGGAGGACATTCAAAGAAGTGACCGGATAGCCTGCCTCTGCCTCCCGACCCTGGTATTCTCTGGAGGTCTCCCATCCAGATACTTGCCGGGGTCGGCCCTGCTTAGCTGGCTATCCAGGTCGGGGCTGTTCTCTCCAACTATTGACCGGGGCTGGTGGCAATTGTGGTGTCAAGTGCTGAGACCAGTGTTCCCTCTAAGCTGAGTGAGTGTGAGCTAGCTCACAGTTTTTTAGCCTCCGGCTCACACATTTTTGCCTTAGCTCAGGAAGGATGGCTCCGGAGCCAACTAATTTATGCAGCAGCCAAATCGCTCGCTCGCAACTTTAATGCCAGGAGCTCACAAAGTAGCATTTTTCTCTTTAAAGGAAAACAATGTTTTATAGATGGCATATGTCGCCTGCAAGGTTAAATAAGTTCAACAAAAACATAGGGAAAAATTGTTGAAAATGTAATTATTGCAATGGTACTTTTTACCAAGTGTGGTGGGCGTGTAACAAAGCCAAAAAATACTGGACATTGTAATTATTGATAAAATACTAGTTAAAAAATGTTTCCTCTTAAATGTAATACCCGATTTATTCCAGAGAAAGGAGGTATATTTAATTATGCAAATACTAACAGCAGCAAGAATTGTATTTGCTAAGAGTTATAAGTTTTGGAAAATATATTTTCAGTGTAAAATATAGATATTTTATTAAATTATATGGAGATATATCTGCAAATATGTAACTATGATAGAAATTATGTTCTTAAATATAAGAAAATTAATTTAAAAATAATATCAGAAAGTAGCATTTTTGCTCACAAGACTCCACAGCTTAGAGGGAACATTGGCTGAGACCAGAAAATCATACTTGCGCTCCTCCACGAGTTTATCCTGTCTCACCTCCTTTCAAAGGAAGGAGGAGCCAGCCAAGCCAAGCCCCATTAACAGAGGGCCCTTCAGTCAGTGCGCTTTCTGCAGTGGTACAGTCTGGAGAGGACAAAACCACATAGAGGGGGTGTCAAACATAAGGCCCGGGGGCCGGATCCAGCTCACCCAGGGCTCTTATGCGGCCCGTGAGCCACAACCTGATAGGTTGTTATCTGTAAAGTAGGAGTGGCTATATTAGCCGGGAATGTTTAAATACTGAGCAGTTTCAATGGGCAAACTGTTCGGGCTATCAGATGTTGTATCGTGTTGGAGAAGTGGTCGTGGAGAAGAATAAACTTGAGTTTTGGCTGAAATCACTCTCTGACTCTTTGTTAAGCTCAGGACTTAACAGACGCATGCTCTTGAATGTGAAACCGAAAGCTCCACTCCTCCGTCGCACTCTGCATGCACACAAACGTGACCCATAGCGACAACCCACCATGAAGCGAAGTTTGAAAACTCCGCACCATGCTTCCCCATGGCGAGTGGCGACCATGCCGGCCCCTACGCGACCAGCAGCAACCCGTGCCACCCATGGGAGGGGTAGGGCGCCTGGGGTGCGTGGTCCCTCATGGCAGCGGCTGGAGACCCTGGACCTTTTGGACCTGTGGGGAGACAAGGCAATCCAGACCGCCCTGAAACAGTCCCACAGGAACATAGAGCTATTCCGAGAGGTGGCCACAGGTATGGTCGCCCGAGGCCATCAGCTGACCGCAGAAGAGTGCTGCTCAAAAGCCAAGGACATGCATCTGAAATACAAAAAGGTAATTTTGAATGCAACTTTGAATGCAAACTCCGGTGGCAGCAGACATACATGTCCCTTTTATGAGAAGCTGGACAGATTCCTCTACACTGAAAAAGAGATTTGGACAGAAGAGCTGCTGCAGACTACAGACTGTTAGCGTATGAAGCGTCTAGTAACCACACGTACCAGGTTGCTAGTGCTGACTATTCACAGTGGATTTATTTACACAGATATATACACAGTTCATATAGCACTCTCCAACTCCAAATCGCTGTACAATCCGGCAGAGTGCTCCGCAGCAAGGCATTCACAGAGTGAACACCTCTACAAGTACTTTATACACTTATATACATGTTCAGCACCAATCAGTGATCAGTGCTGACTCATGGTGACATCGTTTTAGCTGATGCAACTGAGATGCAATCTTAACCTGGTGACATGATCATATGACTCCTTCTGCTGTCAACCAGATCAGAATGATCTCCACCATTTACTTTAGGCTGTCATCTTGCTTCATACCTGATAGTATGCTGACATCCTTCTCTCTAGATCTCCGAGCTTCCGACCATAGTCCGGGACCTTGCCAATGGCCACATGACCTGGGCCGACGTGGAGGCGAAGTACCCGCTCTTTGAGGGACAAGAGACTGGCAAAAAGGAGACCATCGAGGAATGAAGCTCACGTCCGGCAGAGAGACCTTACCCGGAAGTCCACTTTTTACTGTTCATGTTAATACGAAACTTCTCATGTGTATTCTTCAAAACCGCATCGTATGCGTGCCCAGGGACATGTTTTGGTTATTTCCCCGCCCCCACAATGGCTGCCTAATTTTAACTCCTGTCTCCAGTATCTGCAATTAAAAGTGAATGAGAGCGCCACGTGTTGACTTGCTTTCGTCGCCTGGCTTAAGGCTTCAGTGTTCCCTGTAAGCTCAGTTAGTGGGAGCTGGCTCACAGTTTTTTAGCCTCCAGCTCACACATTTTTGTCTCAGCTCAGGAAGGGATGGCTCCAGAGCAAACTGATTTATGCAGCAAACCCAATCGCTGGCTCACCACTTCAATGCCAGTAGCTCACAAAGTAGGATTTTTGCTCACAAGACTCCACAGCTTAGAGGGAGCACTGCTTGGCACCCTAGCCGTATTGGATAATTGGTGTGATCCTTTCTACTTGTGGGCTGTTGATATGCTGTAAGAGAACCCCGAAAGAATAACCTGCCCCTCTCTAAGCCCATCCATCCCCCTGAGCCTTGTGAAAGTGGAACCGTTCACTGCCCACTTGGCAAATAAGAAACTGAAATGGAGGCAGAGTCCCCTGCCCGGATTTTCATCTGTCAAATTCTTGGTTGAGCTAGGATTCGAATCCAGGTCTCCCTGGTGTAGTGTTCCCCAATGTGGGGCCCATGGGTGCTGTGGTTCTGGTGGATGCCTTTCCCGATGCCGGCCCAGTGATTTT